AACCTACACCTTGTCGGTATTCGATCTTTGACATCCTATTTTCTCTAATTTTCTTTTTTTTTTTTTTAATATAATTCAATTTAACGTGTTATAATCACATTTCCTTTCTCATACCTACTTAGTATTCATCTAACAAACAATCTTTATCCATCCATGACATGCATATTGAAAGAATTTATTCAAAGATATTATCTACAAAAGAAAAAAAAAATGGACAAATACGCAATTTTGTCAACATTCTTTAAGTTTATTCTTGGTCAAGGGTAGAGAATTTTATTGTTTAGTTTAGTCTTAGTTAAGGTTAAGAGATTATTTATTATTTATGATCAATCATGGTCTTGGTAAGGAGACTCTATTATTTAAATAAAGCCATGATCAATGATTGGACATTTGAATGCTTAATATACTCATTGTTTGCTTACTTGCCATCCTTTTATAAGCTCATTCTCATTGACTCCGACTTGGCTTCTCAACTTATCGGGCTTTGATCTGATACACTCGAACCCTTTCTTTTGGGAGTTGTTTTGAATAATTTTGAAGGCGTTTAAAGTTAGTATGACTATTTTTTACCTAATTTAAATTATTTTGAGCTAAGCTTAGATTATTTTATGTAATTAGATGAATTAATTTTCATACTAGAATTTTAAATTAGGATGGTGGGACTCTTAAGGTAGAATTAGATTTCAAGGAGCAACTTTAAGCTAGCATCAAGGGAACGTAATGACTTTGACTTAGGTTAACCAACTAAGTTGTTTTACTATTGACTTCATTGAATGACTTGTTTGCTATATAAATGACACATGTTTTTGGCTCTTGTTTGTGTCGTGTTTTATGATTGTATGATGTGTACTATGTTATGTTTATGTTATGATCTATGTGTGTGACGTGTTAATATATACAAACTATGCCTATGAAACGTTAGAAAATCATGTATGTTAATCATGAACAATATAACAAGTATCAACTATATTTTTCTTATACGAATGATATATTAAGAAAACAATGGAAGTATGATTAGTTTCATGAATGTATGTCATGTTTTAATGTTATGGGACTTCGTGCATTTTGCTTAACATGCACATTAAGATACTTTTTCGCTGTGTTTAGTGCAGATGCATAACTTATGATATCTATGTTCACCATGATATTACGTGGATTCTTTTCCTCCATGACATCTGGCAATGTGAGAGTGTGCTAGCCAACCCTAACTGGACGAGAAAGCAGAGTCCAAGGTCATGTTATTTATATGAAAAGGTAGGTCATTTCCTAACCCTGAGACTACTTACCGAGTGTTTTTAAATACTCAAGTTATGTGATACTCCTATTTAAGTAAAAATAAGACATCCCGTTACATGTACCGAAGAAAAACTTATTGAATGGCATTCATATTAATAGCAGTGGACAGAAACGAGGGATTCAATGACAATTCACGAGTTCGTTTTGGTAGGTGTCAACATTCCCTTTAAATGGCAGTCTTTAACTCAAACGACGTCGTTCTTCTTCCTCCATTCATCAGCACACACCAATCCTTCAAGCACAACGCTGTTATGTATCCCATTGTGACGGGTACAAACCCACGTTAAAGGAGAAGCCATCCATCATCCTTTACAAAATACCATCTTAAATCTAAACCCTAAACTGTTGCAGTGACTATTTACAAGATTTTAGTTTCTTGGCTTGTGTTCTTAGTTTGGCTGAGCGTGTACCGTCTAGGATACGCAACCAAACAAGTTAAGTGGAACAACCTAAGCCCATAACTAACGGATATTGTCCTATTTGTTCTTTTCCCTTAAAGTTTTGGGATTTCCTTAAATTTCCCTTATAAGTTAAGTGTAACAGTACAAGCCCACCACTAGCCGATATTGTTCTTTGGACTTTCTCCTCTAAGTTTTGGGATTTCCCTAACAAATTAAGTGTAACATTACAAGCCCATCACTAACAGACATTGTCCTCTTAGGCTTTCTCTTTTGGGTTTCCCCCACTATTAGCAAATATTGTCATCTTTGGACTTTTCCCTCAAAATTTTGGGATTTCTCTTTTGGGTTTCCCCGACTATTAGCAAATATTGTCATCTTTGGACTTTTCCCTCAAAATTTTGGGATTTCCCTTTCGTGTTTCCTCTTAAGGTTTTAAAACATGTCTAACAGGTAGAGGTTTCAACACCCTTATAAAGAATGTTTTGTTCCCCTCTCCAATAGATGTGGGATCTTACAATCCACCTCCTTTAGAGTTTAGCGTCCTCACTGACACACCGCCTAGTACTTGGCTCTAATACCATTTGTAACAACTCAAGTCTACCACTAGCAAATATTATCCTATTTGGGCTTTCACTTTCGAGCTTTCCTCAAGGTTTTAGATGTTTCCACACCCTTCTAAGAAATGCTTATATTTCCTTTCCAACTGACGTGGGATCTCACAATAATCATTTAACACATAGTCATTCCCCGACATAAACAACGGGTTGGAAGGCACAACGACATACCGGAAGCATGGCTTGACCATCTTGGTTTTGAGGTACCTAAAGGCTTATAATATGAGCTTAGTTTTGTGTCTAATTTTATGTGGGAAATGTTTGGTAAGTGTACAAAGTAGACCATTTCTTGCCATACTTTGAACTACTTAAAAACAAATATAAACAAAATAAATGAAATTACACCATGTTTAGAACTATGGATTACTTTCATTTTTTTCATTTATTTATATTTTTATTGGTTTAGTAATAAACATTGGCTAATTTAATTCTATTACATTGTATTTGTTTTAAAAAAAATCATAATTTTTTAATTGTTTATTAAAAAAAAAACCCTATCTTTTTTTTTCTCTATTTTCTTATTATTATTTTGTACTTTAATTCTCTAAATGCTTATAAAGTAATTGAAATAAGACCAATATTTATAAATACAAAATCCAGCTAATTATTGAAGGAAAAATATCCCAACAAGTTACCTAATATTATTAATATCTTTAATTTTTAATTTTTAATTTTTAATATTAGTCAAATGATAATAGATTATAAGTTTTTAATTTTTTTTATTATGAACAATTTTTATGATCCAGCTATAAAAACGAGAAAATTTTAACACGCGTAATTAGCCGAATAAGTTATATATATATATATAAATAAAGACGAGTTTATATTCCTTTTATCTTCCACTATTTTTGTACAATAAATAAGGAAATAGGCCAAACAATAGAGAGAAATTGTAAATATAAATTCAAACAAACAAGGAATTATTGGAAACAATTAAAAAATGTAAGGAATAAGAATAAACAAAATAAACTCTCACAAAAAATAAAAAATAAAAAATAATAAAAAACACTCCCGTGATATAATAATGGAGAAAGATTTAAATTCTTCTATTATTATTATTTATTTTTGAAATGTGTAAGCGACTCAACTCGATTCAACTCGACTAGTAGAGTGAAATGACGAAAATACCCTTAGAGCTATGATGTTACAGGAAGCTACCGTGGCAAGTAAATTGAGGCAGCAAACCCGGGTGTTAAATGTAAAATTAAAAAAAAAAAAAAAAAAAAAA